GATAAGGTTTATAAGGTGAGATATTATTGTTGTGTTACAAGTGCTGTAATAATACTCCAACTCCTTACAATATATAAAATGCCATATAAGAGGGTTAATTTTACGGCTATTATGAATGTTATTTTGGTTAAAAAAACACCTAAAATTAAAAAAAAAAAGATGTGGGCTAGATTTATGAAAATCCGGAACTTTTTTTTTAAATAGACGAAAATTAAATATATTTGTAATAATTTCCCTAATATCTTTGAAGAAGCATCGCCATGTGGACACAGGCGTGACGATCTAATGACGTGGACAGTTGAGATTTTTTTATGGGATCTGATAATGTTTTTCTCTTTTCACTTTATACACTTTTATTAATAATAATCAACAACTTTTTCTCTCTAAAAAAACATAGGAAAGCCTATATCCCTTAACGTGGACCTTTCCACACTCTTTTACTCACATTAATCAATCTCTTTCTCTCTCTAAAAAATCATTAACATTAATCAACTACTTTTCTCTCTAAAAAAACATAGAGAAGCCTAACGTGGAGCTTTGCACACTCTTTTACTCACATATAATCAATATATTTCACTCTCTAGGAACCAGGGATGCCTAGAGACCCCAACGTGTGGCTTTGTTATTTGCAAGAGAGAGAGCCTAATATTCACATTAATCAATCACTTTCTCTCTCTAAGAATCATAGCCCTAGTGTGTTTCTTTGCAATTTGCAAGTTTAAGAGAGAGACAATAACGTGTCCCCGTATAAATCTAACCGTAATCACTAAGTAATTGCCTTTTAACCTAACTTAATAAGTTCCAACCTAATTAGGTTTCGTACAATTTCATCCTCCTTCTTTTATAGGTAGTTAGGTACATAATTTCATTGTCCTTTAAAGCGAGGGCCCAACCTATTTGGTCCAATTGGAAAGTTTCTTTGAAAGCATATGGGGTTTAAATGAGGTCCCCACTTTGTACTACATAAGTAATGCATGTTTTAAATTTTATTTGAAGATATAGTTCAAAACTTTATAATGATTTGAAAATTCATGTTTAATTATAAAATTTAAAATTTTAAAATTAATATTAATTTAAAATTTTAAAAATATTATAAATTTTAAATATAAAAAAGAGCATAAATTGAATAGATTCATAGACACTTGAAAATCTTGAAAATTGACAGTTTAAATAATTTTTACAAGATTAATTATTTTTAGGACTTGTAATTTTTTTTTTTTTATATCCACGAATCTCGAGATCAAGATGATCAGTTTGAAGGTTTTCCAACTTGAAAACACTTTTTTTTTCCTGGATTTTTGAGGTGGATCTTGTTTCAATAATATCAAGTTACAACTTTGTATAAACTTTTTCATCTTTTCTCCTAGAACTATAAATTTCTCGTTTTAAACACTCAAATGATAAATCAATTTCTCGTTTTAAACACTCACATGATAAATCAAGAGCTCTCTCTCTCTCTCTTGAGGATGCTCCATTGAGAACATATGTGCACTAACTCTCTTGGGCGAATGACTAGGTATTTGTTTTTTATACAAAGTGGTAGAATCCACCTAAGAATCATCATATGAATTGCAAGATCTCATCATTTTGGATGCTTTATTAGTGTAATTGCATTGTAATTTCGTTTGATCAATAAAATTATGAAATATTGTCAAGAAAAGGAAGGAATCACATATGAATTATTAAACAAAAAACATAGATTTTTGAGTTATTCGACACTTAGGTTTCACCCTTCAAAATTTGGACATATGTTCAATCTTGGGATGATTATTTTCAAGTACATATAAAATGTGACAATAGTATTTTGAGAAATTATAGCTAACCTTCATGTGAGAAAAGATTTGGGGACTTCTGACCTCAATTGAGGATATAACCTTTAATAGAGCAAAACGATGGACAAGGATTCGGGTAGCTGATCCCAATTAATTGAAAAAAAGCTTTGATGATGATGATGATGATGATGATGATGATGATGATGATGATGATGATAATGATGATAATAATAATAATAATAATAATAGCTAACATTCTTTTAGATTTGTAAAATTACAAACGTAGTTGAACTTTTCTTAATTTACACACATGCCCATTCTTCCGTGTATTTGAACTTTTCTTAATTTACACATATACCTATTCTTCCGCCTACCTTTTCTATAGGAAAAGGTTTATATATGGTTGATGCCCTAAATAATCAAATTATGGTGCACCTAAAAAATTCACTCGAAAATGCTGTTTCAATATCCCAAAACCCTCCTACCCCCTGCGACCCCCCTCAATTTTTTTATTTTATGTGCATACCCTTTTTTCTCATCTTTTTTTTCTCTAAATTACCATTACTTTGGATTTTGAAGATTTGAAGTCAGCTGTCGTATGTCTATTTTCTTGATTTTTTTTTTAATTATTATTACTGTTGAAGTTGCCACCACTTTAAATCTTCAAGATCAGAAGTCGACATTGGACTTTGGTACATGGGGACCTAACTTCGTTGAAAGTTGGCCTTTTAAGACCGGATCAAGGTGCATTCAGTGTTTCATGTGAGATCTTCGAAGCCTTATCATTGGGATGAAAATAGTAGGGTTCAAGCTACATGAACACCACCTAATGTGAGGACTAAGTTTGAGCGGAATGTGGAGGCTATATAGGCTCGATGGGTGGAGGGCAAGCATTAAGAAAGAAAAAGAAAAACAATACAGGGTGGAGTTCTTTGTCAAATGGTAAGCATTACTCGAAAAGGAGGCTAGTTAAGAGAGGAATGTAATTCTTTGGGAGTACGAGGATCTAGTCCAGAGCTCTTAGCTAGAGCTCCGACGAGGACATCAGGAAATGTTGGTGGGGGAGGCTTGTTAGGGCCTCAGCTTGGTGCATGAATGCTTGTTGAGGCCTCGGTCCAGGAACCCCGACTCAAGCCACCAACCATCCAACAAGCTATGAATACTTGTGCTACTTGGTGGTACGGAGTATCCACACTTGACAGCCGGCTTTTTAAGCCAACGCCCCCCTTATGTGGGAGGTGATCGAGCCTTTGGTCGACGGAGCAGCCTCAGCGAATAAGGCTGGTGCACAGCATTGGTGAATGTGGGCTTAGGCCCCACAACCATGTGAGTACACAAACGATGGTTGGCTGATCGCTGACCATGGGTGTCGAGTTTAAAAGCTAGGTGAGCGCCAAATTTGAATTCAAAGTGAAGTTGCACCAGGAAGAGGTGGGCAGCTAAGAAGGTTGAGATGGTTACTGCAACCGACCTGGGTTGATCTGCCAGGCGCCATGAATCAAGGACATGGGTTTGAAATAAAATCAGGCCCAGACCGTTAGTGAGCATCTACAACAATACACATGTATAAGTGTACGGCTTGAAATAAATTTGGGCCACTGCCTTCGTTCCTTTGTTGTGAGTGAGTGTGGAGTGTGCTCTTTGGTTGGGTGCACACAAAGTAGGCTGAACTAGACCCTCGGCACCTGGCCAAGAGTCGAGGCCGCACGGCTATCAAAGTGAAAATTAGCCCCGCATCATGTATCAACATGAAAATAAGTGAAACAACAGCTAACAAAAAATTGGCACAGTCCAAAGTAGGGTTGGTAACCAGTCAGGCCTGAACTAGGCAAACCCTAACCCAAGCCTCACCGGAGTCCCTATAGGGCTGGCTCGTGCCCAACCCCAATTGGACCAAAGGTGCCCTGACCCAGACTGGGTTGGCCAAGCCGGGCCTGATAGACTCAAAAGAAAAAAAAAGAGAAAAAACAAGGGAAAGCAAGGCCATGCAGGGCCAGTCCTATAGTCACCCAGCCCAGCCAGGCCAAGCCGCCAATCCATTGCCAGCACTAGCCCTGACCTACTTTCTCATTCTACAAAAGAAACGGCACTATAACATAAATTGCAGCCGATCCAAACGGCATTGCGAGCCCCAACCCTGACCTACTTTCTCATTCTATAAAAAAAAATGGCAATATAACACATAAATAGCAGCCTATGCAAATGGCCCCAAGGGTGTAAATCTAAACCTACTTCTCGTATTTTGTTTAATGTTCAGCAATGTTCGTAAAACCAGACGATCTAACCGCTAACCGCCCCTGTTAGATCAGAACCGGCCACTCTATACGGCATAGATCCTGATGATTAATGGGAGAAACACTGGACACATCCCATACTTGTCCCACCGGCCAGCTGATGGAAACAGCCCGACTTCCAAATAAATTCGTGTGACTTCGTTTGCATTGGTTTGTACATGAATGCGTGAGTTATACCGAGTACTCAGATAAATTATGGATCATTTCAAATCTTCGTTTTCGAGACAATTCTGGTCCGCAAGACCCTAACCCAAAATAGCCTTCTCCCCTTCAAATGAAATTCCAACTCAAATCCAATGTGGCCAGAGAATCACAGTTTTGGTTAAAATCATAGTTTTGGGCGGATGGTAATTCTATTCTAGTGGATTAGATTGAAATATCAATATGACCGGGCTTTTTGCTATTGTGAAGTCCCATTTGTCGTTCGCAGTTTCAGGCGGATTTGGTAATCATCCAATATTTTCAAAAAAAAAAAAAAACAAAAAACAAACATATATAAATTCTCAAAAATAAAAAATTTGATTTGTAATGCATTCTTTATTTTTTTTACATTATGGTAAAGATTAAAAAAAAAATAGTCATTAATATTCCCTTTTATAATTTTTCCTTTTTCATAAAATTTTAAAAATACCCCTTAACACAAATCGAATCGTTAAAATCCATTTTTTTTTATTAATTTTAAACTTCATTTGAATGTATTTTATTTTAATCATTCTTTATATGCTTTTCATATATTAATAGATTTATTTTTGTATCTTTTTTTTTATTTTTTTCAATACTTCGTTAACCACCCGAAACTTGTCTAGTTAAAGCAATTGAATCAACTGGTTTACCGGTTAAAATGGTTAAACCGCTTCTTGACCCATGTCCTGTTAACCATTCCAATTCGATTTCGTGAATATTGTTGTTTAAAGTTGTTTTGCTTCACTTAGCCTTTCTTAAAAGCAATGATAAATTAAAATTGGGCTTCAGTTGGAAAGCAGAAAAAAACACCTACAAATTTTTCTCGTGTTTTTTGGGACTAATCTTTGTTCAGAGAGATTAATAACCTCAATTTTCCAGAGCAATTTCACAATGGAATGACCCACTTATATTTCAACCATTTCAAAAAAAGTGTCCTTCACCACCATAGTGGTTGAGAGGAAGCTAAGCAAGAGCACCAGTACAGGCTGTTGCAGGGGTTGCAGCAATGTTTTTCTTGTTGGAGCTGTACTTCTTGGTGATGAACCTAAAAAAGCCGACAAGTACATGAACAAGCAAGTAGCCAAATGGTTTTTGTGTGTGTGTGTGTGTGAGAGAGAGAGAGAGAGAGAGAGAGAGAGAGAGAGCGAGAGAGACAACGAAAAGAAGAACTAACTTAAACTACAGTACACAGAGAGAGAGAGAGGAGAGAGAGGGAGAGGGACGGGGGGGATTTAAAGTAGACAATACCTGAAGAAATCTCTCCAAAGGAGCTCAAACATCAACCAATTCATTCCACCATCAGTTGCACCTTCATTCGTCTTTTGACTCACAGAGGCAAAACCCATTCTGCCAAAGTCAAGTTACACAAAACACAGTGAGAACATCTGACATTATCAAAATGACACTTAAGCTCCTTATATGAACCTAAGTTACCATGTCAATAATTAATGCAAATTTGTTGTGGGTCATAAAATATAGCATTTCAAAACTTCACTCCTTTTTTGATTGGTGGCATTGCATTTTGTATTTCAAAGAATGCAATAGTGAAAACTATTCAAAAGAAAAACAACTCAGATAATAATAATAATAATAATAACAACCCACCTCTTGGCTCCTTTTTTAAGCTCATTGAACATGAAGCGTGGAGAGAGACAACCCATGGCGAGCCAAGGCGATATTTTGCATGAGAAGTTGGCACCATAAATACTATCTCTGCCATTAGCCTTGTCTCCTTTATAAGGCTGTGCAAGGCATTCGGATGCAAATCTTTTGAGCCTTTCTAAGGCTTCGGTTTCGCCCCCCACAAGGGAAGCATTAGCTGCAGGCTTCCCATCCTGACAAAAACAATGAAATTGAAAACATAAGAATCTCTATTTATGTACATAATAGTCAGCGCTCAAATGAAAAACAATGAATAGCTGCGCCATTGAAATCTGTAGAGATCTCTACAACAACTCAAGAATACAAGCAGCAAAAGAAACAAAACTGAGAGAAAGAGAGAGAGAGAGATCATAAACACACTCCATTTCTGCTCTTGCTTTCTGTTCCTTATGGTACAACCTACACTCATCAATGATTCCTGAGCACTGACCTCGTGGAAAACATCTCCTTCCCTACACCGCAGTCCTCCAATAGGTACTGCATAGAATTTCCAGAAATTTTGTCAGTGGGCCTCTTTGCCATTGGGCTCTTAAGGCCCAAGCCCATGTGAGTGGGCTTGGGCCTCCCTAGGTCCATGAACCAGACATAAGCCTGATACAAAGGCCTGGAAAGTATGTGTTTGGATTTGAGCCCCCCCCGAAGGAAAGGCCCAATGGGCCCTGACATCCCATTTTAAGCAATGCATATACGACTCTAACATCTTCTATTTGCAAGTATTTATTTCAATATGTTGTTTTTTCTTATACATCTTGCAAATGACTTCTCAAGAAACAGCAAAAAAACATCTCAGAGCCCCACACAAAGGAATTACTTCCATAAGCTCAAAACCTTAGACTAGTCTTACTCTTTGCCCTCTTTGCCTTAAAATTGAAATCTGGCCGAGTCTAACAGCAAGGTAAAATCTGACAAACATAGATGGCAGTTTAATGTGGCTGTGTCTAGAACAAGAAACTAACAAGATGATTCGTAGAACCTAGTACAGAAACTCCTTAAAATGTCCAGATCTCTACTTTGTGAACAATTGTATAGAAAATTGCTTAGAAGTAAGAATAAGAATAAGTATTGTACACTACAGAATTAGTAGTTCTTATAGCAAGACCCTCAGGGCCTATTTGGATGTGCTCGTTACCACCAATAATTCACTGTTTCAAAAAAATCTGTTCTGATAATGGACTATCTATTGTTTGGAAGTGTCCATCATAATGAGATAAACTATAGATAATTTTTACGTACAAGTCTATCTTTTTTGAGGAACGGTATCTGTATTATATTACTATATAACTAAATCACAGAAAACCACTTGGCTCTACTCGGCAGTGTAAAAACTGAGCGCTCAAGAGAGTTTGGGCAACAAAAACAAAAAGAGAATGGAAGAAGAGAGAGATACTAAGGCAACCCACAGCCCGGGGTGCTCCAAAAAAATACATCCATTCTATTCAAAAACTGTCTACCCACTAGGGGAGCTCCTATACCAAAAAACAGATGGGAACATCTGTGAGAACACAGCCTATAAGAGATCGAATAAATTGGAAAGGGGGGATAGAAAGTTAGCAAGAGAGAGAGAGAGAGAGAGAGAGAGAGTGAGAGAGAGAGGAGGAAAGGGATAGAAAGGAGAGCAAGAGATTCAAATTGGTGAGGCATATAATCTTTTTGAAAAGCCATCTGTACTTAATATTCGAAGTAGTTTGCTGAAAATTACATGCTTCTAGACAGAAATGACCAAACAGTAGAAAAATCTCCCAAATAATTAAGTCATTAAATAATATTAGACATATGACCAAATAGTTTAAAAATCTCCAAAATAGTTAAAACATTAAATAATATTAGGCATAATAAAAGATATGGACCAAATAACCTAAAAAATTATAATATCTGGAGTATATTAGTTTTGGAAAAAATAGTCTATTCCAGCCCAAAATAGGAGTAGAGACGAGGAAGTAGTTAAGATTGACGGCCAAGAAATACTAAAAGAACGCACTTTCGATATCTTGGGTCGATAATCTAAGAAAATGGAGAGATTGGGAAAGATGTCGCACATAGAATTAGAGTTAGGTGGGCAAAGTGGAGATGTGTAACCGGAATTTTATGTGATTATTGCATGCCAATGAAGCTAAAGGGTAAGTTCAACGAGCTTCGCTCAATGAGACAAAATGTTGCGCGGTCAAAAAACAATAGACCCATAGAATGAGTGTAACGGAGATGAGGATGTTGAGATGAATGAGGGCCAAGACAAGAAGGGATAGAATTCGAAATGAATACATTCGGAAAAATTTAGGTGTGGCACTAATAGGCGACAAGATGACAGAGAATAGAGTTAGGTGGGTTGGCCATGTGTGGCATTACCCAGTACAACACCTGTTAGGAGGTACGAGTTAGTTCAAGTGGAAGCTCAAAAAGGACAAGGGGTTTGCCCAAAAGGACATGATTGAAAGTATTAAGAAAAGATATGTGGACTTATGGTCTCACTGAGGATATCACCCTTAATAGAGCAGAATGACGAATCATGATTCGTATAGCCCGCACCAATTAATTAGAAAAAAGCTTTGACGATGATGTTGCAAACAAGCCCTCGATATCTTCACTTCGTTTTAGAATTTATCAAATAGTTTGATAAGTGAGACTTTAAATGGTTCACATACACAAATGGGATAGTATTTCGCAAGGCCTTGTCGAACACAATCACAACCCAAATCTCACTGGAAAAACCAGTCCCAGTGTTAAAAAACACTGCAAATCTGTCATCCCCACTTTGATGTAAATGGATCTGAAATTTGATTTCAAGCCCTTAGAAATGGACCATCTTGCGACACTCTAGACTGTCTATTTCAAATGAGACTTTATGGTTCACATACACAAATGGGATAGCATTTCGTAAGGCCTTGTTGAACACAATCACAACCCAAATCTCACTGGAAAAACCAGTCCCTGTAAAAAACACTGCAAATCTGTCATCTCCACTTTGATGTAAATGAATCTGTAATTTGATTTCAACCCCTTAAGAATGGACCATCTTCCCAGATCCGCCAAATCTACAATATTTTGGAGTTCCAAATTCCACAATCAATGGAGGAAATGGACTTTTGGCGGATCAACTTATTTTCCAGCACCAAATATGAGTTTCCTGGCAGGGTTTTGAAATGCAGCCATATACATTTGAGGCCTTACCAAAACCTCACCCTATATGAGCTGATAGCATAACTGTTTGGAGTTAGCATGGGGCATTGAATACAGTACCTAATTGGTATTGAAATAATAGAACAAAAAAGGCTCCGGTTGCATCTTTTAGCACGTCTTGGCTAACAATAGTATCACAATGATGTAGAATTGATACGTGTGTGGAGACAACATTGGTAGAATACACGTATCACATAGGTAAACTATTAATACAACTATGATGCCTTCCATCCCTAGCACTCTTCCCTTAGTTTTTATTATTTCCCTTCAAAACAGAATTTTAGGGTTTCTCTGGATGCCGCTGCAAAAAATGTGAAACTGGTTATTGGTAAATTTTAGGTGATTTAGGGGATGTGTGTCAATGGCTCTTCGGAAGCCACCTTGCCTTTTTAGGTGTTCATGTACACAAGGAATGCTGCTGCTTTGTGTGTGAAATAAAAAGTAAAAAAATATTTGCTTAATCCCAAACGCAAAAGCATGGAGTTTTATGGAACTTCATACAGAAACTAACCAAAGCAGGGTAGCATACGGTCAGTCAATCATGTAGTCATGGAATTAGGCACCTAGATGATAGCTAGGGAGTTGACACCTGCAGCACAACATCCAGGTTTGAACACCACCATGGACCTGCCTTACAAGAAGTTTACGTTTGGTTCTATAGATATGCATACTGATATTTATATAATCTAATGTTCTTTTGAAAGAAGAGGTAAAAATTCAAGGTATTTTCTGGTTATGCTATTAATTTTTTAAGGGTTGATATTAACATTCACCATAAATTGTGGACGCCTTTATCTTTCACCAAGAAGATTTAGACATTTAACTGTTCCTGAATTTAATTATAGTTGTGTTTATTGTGAAGGAAACTTTGAAACTAACCAAGATACTGATGTAATATGCATTAAGTTAATGGGGCCGTAAACACTAATAACTATGTGTATTTAATGCTACTTTGGAATTTGAGTATGCCAAATCACTAAATTAGTCGTATGCCACACTTAATTTTCAATATGAAGGGGCAATTTTTATCAACAACTGTGTGACGACTAATGTAATTCACCATGTACAGTGAATGTTAGTAACACTCTTACAATGTAACCTCTCTAAAGGCGAAGTTCCTAATTTATGGGGCGAAGTTCCTAATTTATGGACAAAGATTTTGGTATTTTAGTAATTTGATACAACAAAAGTATCAAAGACGCCTTAAAGGAGATTTTATTTAAGTGCTTGAAGGAACATGTGAATAAGTCCTTCTAATAAAATATTCTTTTTTTTCCACTTGGATGGAGGAGGGTAAATAAAAAATGGTTTGGGACCAGAACAACTAGTAGTATTATAAATGTGTTTCTACTAAAACTTGAAACACATTTCTTATGGTACTAGAAATGCATCTTAAGTTTCGACACATATTTTATATGAATTCACAATAATAGTATCCTCAAATACTGGTGAAATGGCCAAACAACAATTTCTAGCTGACTATGGTTGAGAGAAGCGTTTATTCCAGAGATCCACTGAAACCAATGACTATAAAAATAAAAAATAAAAAGAATAATAAAGGGCTAAACTTTAGTAATCACCAAATATAAGGAGAAACCTCAAAAGGAAAAAAATACAAACATCACACAAATAAGTCTACCTTAAAAATGAGGAATCCCGTATTTTCTTATGTAAAATATTCTGTCATAATACTAGGCAACTAATCTTCATTAGTTGGTTTACAAGGTACCTGTGTACATTTAACTTGCGGACAATTTTACTTGGACCAAATGGACTCCAAACACACCTAAGTTGAAAACCTGCCGAGATTTCAATCGACGCCAACTTCTTGTGTTCTTGTCCAAACTTTTAACGTCATTTGCTTTGCGCACCTAGATTACCTGATTTGCTCTTCATGTAACTAAGGCATTCAGTACCTCAATGGAACTCATGGAGTTTGGGCCTCATACCATAGAGTCACCAACATATAAAGTTCATGAGTTGAGCTCTTGAAAAAGGCTTTCTGAATGCGCTTTATGTCAAATCTATCATCATAGAATATAAAAAATGGAAATCCAATATTTTCTAGGAAAATATGTATCATGGTTTTCCACACATGAATCCAAAGCACATATCTCTTAAAAAAACCACTCAAAAATATACAGCAAGTTGTGCACCATAGCTTTCTACGAGTTCTAATTCACGTGAGTAAATTCCAAAAAATTAAAATCTACAATGGGCAGTCCAGACAGCAGCACTGTTGAGGTGGTTATGTGCAGCAATTACTCAAAAGTGGACCATTGTTTGGTAATACCAGAACATGGCAAATCCATTATTAACATAAACTTAACGCAATGCAAGTAATCAAGTCTAGAAAACAGCAAGAGGGATGAGCTGAAGCCCACTTAAGACAAGTCAGAAAGAGAGGGGAACCCTGCCTGGTATATTAGGAGATCCAGAATCTTACATCCAAAGGGAAAAATAAGTTACTTGTGTGACATTAGGAGTACCACAAACTTGAGAAAGTTAATTTTGTTTGATCGACCTCCTGATTGTGTGGTGCAGTGACCTATAAAGGACGATGTGCAAATGATGTTTGTTCTTAATCAGTCCATATACATACCTAGCTTGGGTTGCTGCATTGCGAAGCACACTTGATGAATTCACCTATATGAGTGTGAAAGTGTGTCCACATCCTATGAGAATTGGGTATTCTCTAGGGTGTTTAAGATCAGAGGGCTATAAATTGTGGGCTTTTAGAATGTACACAATACCAGAAAGGTTATGTGTAGCACGTAAGAGACTTACCTATATAGGAAAAGTTCAAATTCCCTCTGCTCAAGATCCTTGGTAAGCGTTTGGCATAACACTAATTGAAGGTTTAAGTCCCAAGCCATCTATGCACTGTCTTTCCTGATTTGCGTATATAATAGTAAAATTTATTTGAAATAGATGGGGATCAATGAATTACTAGGGTTTTGAAAGTGTGTTTCAGAAAACGAAAGGACCCTAGCATGTATCACATCTTGGGTACTCAAAGGGGTTCCACCATCAGAGGTCAAACACACTCAAACATGTAGATCATAACACGGTGCACATATCCCAGAGCAGCACTCTACACATGGTGATGTTTTCTAGCCATTATACATCACTGTGGTAGTATGTTCCCACATGCAAACATCCAGAGCAGCACTCTACACATGGTGATGTTTTCTAGCCATTATACATGACTGTGGTAGTCTGTTCCCACATGCAAACATGCTCGAAGACCTTTGCCCCAAAGCACACAACACTCTATATTTGACACTCATACCCAATCAATCCGAGATTAAACTGAAGTTTCCCATTTTTCAGAAGCTCTTACAATTACCAAAACAAACCAAAGTACAGAATTGTCTAAAATAACATCCAAAACACTAACACGAATCACACATGTTCTGATAAATATCCATCAAAGAAGCACACTTGTTTTGAGATATGTGTTGTGATATTCGAGAGAGCTCCTCATGATGAGAACTTGTTACAAATATTTCCTTATCCAAAACCAAGAATTAAGAATTTCAAGAAGCCATCTTCAATCAACAATACAAGTTCCAAAGCTGATTAAGAGATTGTGATACACGAAATGTTTAGAGCTATATAAGAAATACTATATTGCCAATAGAAAATTGTTACGATTACATAAAAAAGATGCATATGTACAAACTTCATTTACATCAGAGAAGTACTTCATCATTTCAGAGATAGATAAAATTATCCCCATTGCACGTATGTGTGTGTGTGTGTGAGAAAGGAGAGAGAGAGAGAGAGAGAGAGAGAGAGAGAGAGAGAGAGAAGAAGG